GTCGAGGCCCTGAAGAATAGAATAACTTTGTATTCTTCAGTCCTTCAGGCCTGTCTTATTCTTGGTCAGAAAGCAACCCTCCCCACGTTGCGAGGTTTTCAGGATTATATATCTTTAGAATTGGAATTAATCTGAATATACAGCTGAGTTTTCAAAATCTTTATGATGTTTTCAAATCAAAGTTGAACCCTACTTGAGCAAACCTATGTCCTGAAATCAAATAAGACTGATGTTTGGGTTTGTACAGGTTTTCCACAGGGATGGCCTATTTTTATTCATTTGTGTTCTTACATTCTGGCACTGGGACAATGTTTACAGAATGTGCTTGGATTCAAGGTGTTTCAAGGCTTGTGGATGGAATTTGGTATGCTTGAAGTCTAACTTTTACTGTGTTTCCCTGAAAATAAGACACCGTCTTATCTTAATTTTACAGCAAAAAACACACTAGGGCTTATTTTCAGGGGATTTTTCTACAGTCATATCTTCTTCTGGTTGCTGCCCAATGGTGGAGGGTGGGGGTTTCACTTAACTGGGGCTTATTTCTGGGGTAGGGCTTATACAGTATTATGAGCATCCTGAAAAATCGTACTACGGCTTACTTTCAGGTTAATTCTTATTTTCAGGGAAACAGTGTTCTTCAGCTTTTATATTAACTGATTAGGCTGCCCTGGCACTAGAGTGAATTCTGAGGAATAGTGAAAACATTGAGATGATCATTATCCTGAGTGGGGAGTGTTGTGCTGACAAATGAGGTTCTGAGATATCAGAGATTTATCATCAGAGGATGGGAGTGTGGCTCATGCTTCCTGCCTTGACACAAGATGCCATGCATTTTCTGTGAATGTGGCTACTCTCAACATAGCAGAACAAACACCCACCCCCCACACTAAGCAATTACTTGCCATATCAGTATCCCTGCAGTTTTCAGATAGCATATATTTACTAGATACTGGAGCTACCCTGAAATTTAAACATTTGGAGAACATGACAAATTCCACGTTCCCCTTTTTCTGGGGGTGGACATGGAGAGGATAATCTGGAAATTCTGGACATTCTCACTTCTGTCAATTCAGAAGACTTGTATAAATGGCTGAGGTCACCTGTTGAAGGTTTATCGAAAATGAATGTAAGAGTCAGGCCTGAAAAGAGCTAAATATTCACATTTCCCTCAGTTTTGGGAAGTTTACAGTGAAGTGGCTAGGAAAAACTGCTCTCAAGACTCTAGACAGAAACACTGCCTACCTTTTCAGTGTAATGGTGTACAGTATTAAAGCATCTGCTTCTTGATTGGTAAGGACTGCATCAGCGAGCTATGCTAAAATATTCCACTTCTTTCACAAGAACACATCAATCAGATATTCTAAAGTACCACTTCATTTGTCACTTAAACAAAATTAATTCACTGCTGAAATCCTATGCTCTTTCCATCGCTTTCATGTTTCTTTTATTTATACCATTTTGTCTTGCCCGTTATCACATTTACTTATCTGGGTTGGCTGTCCTCTTCTACTCAATATGCAGCTTCTGGAGGGGCACACAAAGAGCAGTGAGGGAGGAAGGGAACAGCCGTCAAGCCAGTGAGATCAGGTGAGACCATCCTGGTGATCAATGAGGTGACAGATGTCACGGCCACATTACCCTCACAATCACATTTGCTTAAATAACATTGTGGTAGGTTGACTACAAATTGGACAGACCACAAACAGGAAGAGGTGTGGATGGAACTATATCACCACAATATTAATTTATATTGTGCTTTTGTTTGTACACAGTTCTTCATATTTTACTTCAGTGGTTCCCACCCTTGGGTCCCCAGATGTTCTTGGACTAAAACTCCCAGAAGCCTTCACCGCTAGCTGTACTGGCCAGGATTTCTGGGAATTGTAGTCCAAGAACATCTGGAGATCCAAGACTGGGAACCACTGTTTCACTTGATTGGTGGCCAAGGATATCATAAGGAATTCCAATTTGTATGGGGAATGTAGTCCCAATTGTATTATCAAATAAGCTTTTAAAAATGTTCACCACAAAGACATTCTGGAATGGAGTACATATGAACTCTGCCATGTCAAAAGCACTGTCCAAAATGGCCTCCCCTTGGATTTCTGTCAATGCTGTATGGTATAGCATTACTTACTGAAGGTCCTGATTGCCATTGTTTTGTGAGATTTCATTTCACTGCAGCAACAGAAACATTTATTTTATTTATTTATTTATTTGATTTTTACTCCGCCCCTTTAGACCATGTCTACTCGGCCCTTCATGTCACATATTTTCAAAAATGGCATTAGATTCATGTAAGGTAGTCTAACACTTCTGGAGCATGTCAGGTTAAAAAAGTGTGATGAGGGCTGTGGGATAGCACCTTTTCTTTAGAATGGGAAACCTATTCAATGTTCAAAAACAGATTATGAAACTCTTTAGTCTTTTTGGATGCAAAAATACAGCTTTTCAGAACTGCACTCCAGTTGGCTTCTTGTTTTAGTGGCCGTATCACATGTTTCATATTCACTCCAATGGAGCATTATTATGCTTTGTTTCTGAGGAAAGGGAACCATATATTGTGATGGGACAATTTGAAATGGAGATTCAAAAGTCAGCATTCTTGCAAATGTCAGCAGAATCTACTGTCAGGTCTGGTGTGTGTACTGAACTCATCATAACAGGAACACCACAAATAGTTTACACGTGAGGGATTCTTACAGTATCTTGAAAGACCTATGCATGCTGTCACATAGAAGAAGACCTCCAGCTCAGTCAAACTGTTATTTCTTAAAAAAAAAAAAATCAGAAATTAATCCATGACCCCAGTTCATTAATATTTAACAATTGTAAAATACTGCATGTAAATATGACATATGCATGAAACTGCCAGAATAGTTATCCAGAGTTTAGGAATTCAGTGGCAGTATGCTGATGGCACCAAGCACTCTCCCTCCTTTCCATCTAAATCAGAAGAAGTAATTATAGTTTAAGTCAGTGTCAGATGTTGGTAAGGGACTGACTGAAAAAAAAAAGTACAGCTTAATCAAGAGAAGACAAACATGTTCCTTTTCACCCAAAAGGCAAATCAGGGAACAGGGACCGGTCGGTGCAGGTTTGCAGTTTGGGCTTACTTCTGCTTCCAGCTCTGCGCCTTTGCCCCCAGGCTTTGGCCATGATCAAGAGTACATTTACCCAGCTGAAGCTAGTGCGCCAGCTGTGCCCATTCCTACCGAGTCTCATCTGTCTATGGTGACATACTCATTTTTATGTCATCTTTTGATTAATCCAACTTAATACTGTACATACAGGCTCCTTTGGAAAGAGTTTGAAATGTCAATTGGTAAAAAAAAAATACTGCAGCCTGCTGACCATAAACTGGTTACAGGGTAAAGAGAGAGGCCTTGTTACAACAGGTTTACTAACTACCACACTGAGCACAATCCAAAGTGCTGGTTATGACCTATAAAGCCTAATATGATTTCAGCTCGGCCTATTTGAAGAATATCATCTCCCCCATGTGAGCTTCATTTGGGGAGGAGGTTGTTCCTTGGATTCACTACCCTCGTAAGTCCAGCTAGTAAAATGGCTGCTGTCAGGCTATGCAACTCCTCATGCTGTTCTCCTCCCTGCTGTCCTTCTGCTGAAAGTCAGAGTCAGGCTGATGGCACCCATAACTCTTACTGGACTCTAAAGTACAGAGGTGGGAAGTGTTTGGACAAGAGTTTCTGGATCCTTTGTTGACCCCTTACGGACCTAATATTATGATGGTAATCTTTATGTCTGTTGCCAATAGCGTCATTTCCAGGATAAATACAAAGTTAACAAGTCTCCGAGGTATTTTAGATCTCAGACTAGTAAGCAGATCCCCATCTAAAGATCAGTTATTGCAATTATTATTATTATTTTACTGGGGTTTTTTTTGAGAAAACCCTTCTCATCATTTAGTTCTTGCAATAAATAAAAATCAATTCACTAAGCATGTTAAGCCTACTTTGGTTTGTCGGAGGAGAACTGTGTCATCAGCATGACGTAGCACTATTTTTAGGAGCCTTGTGGTGCAGTGGTTGACGGTAATATTGCAGTGAAGATTCTGCTCACGGCCAGAGTCTGATCCCAGGGTCAGGTAGCTGGCTCAAGGTTGACTCAGCTTTCCATCCTTCCGAGGTCAGTAAATGGAGGACCCAGCTCATGGGGACAGCAATGTATACCCTGCATAATTAAATTGTAAACAGCCCAGAGAGTGCTTGAAGCGCTATGGGGCAGTATACTATAAGCAGGACACTTTGCCTTTTTTGCTTTGCTTTTTAGTGCAAGCTTGGTATATGAATTCAGAAGAGTGAAGCCTGTCATTTCCAACCTCTTCTCAGTGGTTGGTAAAGGTGATATGGTATCTCCTTACAAATGACACACACCCCCAACAACAACAATAACAACAATGCTTTCATACATACACCCTTTCCACTATTACTCAGGGTGGCTCTTAGAGATATGTTTCATAGCAAAGCAAAGGAGGCTGAAATTAAGTCATGTGAAAACAAAAACTTTCTCTCGTCTTAACTGCTAAGCAGGATCATGCCTGGTTAGTATTTGGATGTGAAACCACCAGGAAGCATCAAGGTTCTCTAGCAAGGGCTAGGAAAAAAATATATCTTGTGAAGTCACTGGCCATCAGAACAGGCAACCATGCAGGTCTGGCTCGATATAAGACAACCTCCAATGTTACTAATGCTTCCTGAGTTAAGTGAACTTTAAAACAATTGAAACACCATAATAATCAGCCAGTTAAAATCAACACGGTATAAGAAACATATGCAGCTGCCTGTGTGAATTACACTGGGAGCAGCGCCACCCGGTGGAGTTTGTCATGCGTAAAGCAGTTCAGTAGCCAGAGAAATGAATTCAAAGTGTCCTTAAATCCTTTGTTCAATATTTGCGTGTAAGGCAATTCAGCTACAAGAGAAGTGGATTCCAGATATATATAAGTCCTTTGTTCAATATTTGTGTTCTTTTAATAGGTGATGGTGATTTTGAATTAGCTGACGCTCTTGACCCTGGTAAGTAGACTGGGAAAAGGAACTGAATACTGTTGTACTCATATAAGATGTTGACTGAACCCTAAGCTGACTGTCTGAGCCAATAACTAAGCTGGCATTAATTTACAGAGGCAAACTTGGAGTCTGGACTAGATTTTTAAAACATGTAACTACCCGAAGTGATAAAAATATGGAAAGCAAGCAGCAAAGTTCAAAATTAAGAAGAAAAAGCAACAACCTTCTTCAATAGGAACTGTGAGGGACTCTCCCTACTTGGGTTATGACCCAATTCCCAACCAAAAGCTGGGATTCAAAGCAGTGCAGATACAATCATCACATGCGATTTTCCCCCACCTAAGCTGCTTATCTAGAAAACATCGTCCCAGACCCCTTTCATCCACCAGCCACTCTCAAGGTATTTAGGTCTACAACTACACATATCCTTTATTATTGCTCATACTGGCTAGGGCTGATGAGAATTGTAGTCTAAAACCCTGGGGGGCATTAGATTGCTTACCCTTGCTTGAACATACTGTTTGACATGCTGTATGCCTCTCCCTGTTTTTCCTCTTTTCAACAGCACACATGCACATTTAACACTTTTATTTTTAACGGAGAATTCAAAGGATGGTTATTTTAGAAAGGTAAAGGTAAAAGTTCCCCTTGACATTTTGAGTCCAGTCGTGTCCGACTCGAGGGGGCGGTGCTCATCCTGTTTTCAAGCCATAGAGCCAGCGCTTGTCTGAAGACAGTTTCCCTTGTCACGTGGCCAGCGTGACTAAGGAACACCATTTTTACCTTCCCACCGAGGTGGTACCTATTTAGCTACTTGTATTTACATGCTTTCGAACTGCTAGGTTGGCGAGGAGCTGGGACAAAGCGACGGGAGCTCACTCCGTCATGTGGATTCGATCTTATGACTGCTGGTCTTCTGAACCTGCAGCATAGGCTTCTGCAGTTTAGCCCACAGCGCCCCCAAGTCCACGTATTTTAGAAAAACCTTCCCCATATTGGAGTCTGTATTCATCTTGTGCCCTATTATGCTTAGCCCATACTGTACTGAAAATAAATCAAATTCATATCAGATAAGAGGCTATACTTTCCCTTTACTTCAATGGATAAGAGTGACTCCAGGCATGGTTAGAATTATGGACAATAAATGAAGCAGGAGGTACAAAATTAAGCCTGTTGTGGGACATGATGAAAGCCATTAAAGAGGAATAGCAGTAAGGGAATCCTGCACACTGAAAAAAATTAAAGAGATAAATGTAAGAAAACTAGAAGAAGAATTGAAAAATTTGGAAAGTAAGTTTTTTTTTAAAAGAAGGAGACAGAAGGATATTGGCAGAAATTCAGGGGAAAAGAAAGGAAATAGAAAATTTAGAGATAGAGAAAGTCCAGAGGGATTTGATGTATATGAAGAGGATTTTTTTAAATTTATCAATAAAAACTCAAAATTATTAGCTAGAATATGGAAAAAAGAATTTTAAAAAACATGATTGGGGTAATTAAAGATAGAACAAGCAAGATGTGTAATAAAATGAAAGATAAACTGAACATTTTTCAAGAATTTTATCAAAAGTTACATAAAGGAAACAATGCACTGAAAGAGGATATAGAAAATTATATAAATGAGCATTTAAAAACTAAATTATTGGAATGTGATAAAAGAATATTAAAAGAGATTAAAGAAGAAGAAATTGCTGAAGTCATTAATAAACTGAGAAATGGTAAGACACAAGGCCTTGATGGATTATGTCCAGAATATTATAAACGTCTTAGTTCCATTTTGATACCTAAGCTAAAAATGATTTATAATGAAATATTGGAAGCAGAGACAATGTCACCTTCTTGGAAACGCTCATTAATGATTCTTATTCCAAAACTCAACAAAGATCTAACAGATCCGGGATCTTATAGACCTATATCTCTAATAAATCAAGATGCTAATATTTTTACTGCTATATTAGCAAATAGATTAAACAGATTTATAGCAAATTATATTAAAGAGGATCAATATGGCTTTATAAAGGGAAAGCAAACGGATAATTTAACTAGGCGAGTTTTGAATGTTATATATGAGGTAGAAAAGGGAAAAATAAAGGCAGCCCTTCTATCACTGGACATATTTAAGGCCTTTGATCACATGGAATGGCTAACATTAAAGCTGCTTTTAAAGGATTGGGGATTTGGTAGAAGATTTACTGGAGTTACAGATCAGTTATATTTAGAAAATACTTCAGAAATAATAGTTAATGATGGTTTAAAAGAACGGATTTTTCTAGGCCGAGGCACAAGACAAGGCTGCCCACTTTCACCAGTATTGTTTTTGTATGATTATAGAATTGTTAGCTAATGCAATAAGAAATGATGAATTAATTAAAGGATTAGGCAAAAATGATACAATTAAGATTAATTTATTTGCTGATGGCTCATTATTAACGATTAAAACTCACTAGAAAGTATGGATAGAATTAAAAATCATTTAGAAAAATTTGGGGATATAACAGGATTAACTATTGTCATGATCATGGGATATATGGTCAGAAGCGTGTCATGATGAATTGATATATAGTCAGAGAAACAAAATGGAGTCAGATAGGTTCTGTGTGAAGATAATTTGAGAGATTTTGGAATGTGTTTTTCTAAGTGCCATGAGAGTATTTTCCTGAAGACCATTAACAGCCAACATGCTGATAACATGAAGGCCAAATCAAGGGTCCCATGAAGACTCAACATTCCAAGCTTGTTACAGAAGACATCAACAACACCTGCACTTCCATGAATGAATGAATGAATGAATGAATGAATGAATGAATGAATGAATGAATATCATTAGACATATTTAAGGCCTTTGATTGTGTGGAATGGCTAATATTAAAGTTGCTTTTAAAGGGTTGGGGATTTGGTAGATTTATTGGGGTTATAGATCAGCTATATTTAGATAATACTTCAGAAATAACAGTTAATGGTGGTTTAGCAGAGCGAATTTTTCTAGGCCAAGGTACAAGACAAGGCTGTCCACTTTCACCAATATTGTTTTGTATGATTATAGAACTGTTAGCTAATGCAATAAGAAATTATGAATTAATTAAAGGATTAGGCAAAAATTGTACAAGATTAATTTATTTGCTGATGATTCATTATTAACGATTAAAACCCAATTAGAAAGGATGGATAAAATTAAAAATCATTTAGAAAAATTTGGAGAAATAACAGGATTAACTATTAACTGGCAAAAACACAAATAATGATGTTTAATTACAATAAATATGAATACGAAATGTTTGTAAATAAATATGGTTTTAAAATGTGTAATTATATTAAATATTTAGGTATAAATATAGTTAAAATGACTCAAAAATTAAAGGAGCAAAATTTTAACAAATTAAAAAGTGATATTAAAGATAAATTGCAGGAGTATTCTAAATTGAAACTATTGATTTATTGAATTTGTATTCGTGAAAGAAAAGGGGAAAGCGTCTAAGCAACAATCAATACAATTTTGGAAAGAAGGTTTGTAATAAAAGTATTGCTCCAAAGGGTCCTGTGAGTATGGGGATGCACTGTATTTTAGATTGTATTAGTAAGTATTTTGTATTCTTGTATTTGTTTTGGAAATTTTAAAAAATAACATTAAAAAGAGTGACTCCAGGTGTTTGCTTCAGACCATTTTCCCTTCACAGTTTTGAAAATGGTGGAAAAATAGCAGATCATATGCCGATTTAGCCCTCAGTAGTTTAGCAGAGCTAAGGGGGGGGGGAATGTAGGAAATGCAGAGGACATACATGTGTGGGCAAGTATATGTGGGTCTTAGGATCTTGTCCCCAGAATCATTTATTTTAGAAATAACTTTAAATATCATGAAGATTCTCCTTGAATGAATCCACGGGTGTTCATCACCAATAAATTGTTAATAATGTTCTATACTACAATTGTACACATGCTTACTCCAAGTAAGTCTTTCTTACTTACTAAATGTAAGAAAGTGGAGATATGCCTGTAGTCTCAGTCAGCTCAATAATATTTAGAAACACAGTGTCTAGTCATAATGCTATATGCTTCCTTTTGATAACTTGGACAATGCACTTTTTAAAATGTCTTAGGTTTGCCCACCAGGCGACCGAATCCAGCTACTAAAAAGCCACCTATGGGTGAGTATTAAATTGCATCTGCTGTAGTAAATGATCATGTCATATATATGGGAATGAAGCCACAATATGGAGGTATATGAATGTTGGAGATGACTAGGTGCAACTCATATTACATTGAAGTAGTATATCTTTGTATGGGAAAGCTAGGAAGAAGGAAGGTATTTCTCAGGTTTCCAAGATTGTCCTTTACCAGTTCTGACCCATTTGTACCTTTCTTCCACCTGGACTGATATTCTTAGGGTTTTTAATATCCCTTCCTTCCTTCTCACATTTCTGTCTTGACTGTCTCTGGGGAACATCTTGCCTTGATTCATGAGGAGAGAGAGAGCCACAGTTCCCTGCCTCACCACCTTAATTAGCTACAACCAAGTTTCCTATTATCTTTCCTATCTCAAGGTATTTCTTTAAGAAGCTCTAACTTTCTTATTTTATTAGAATAGCAAGTGTGTTAGAATAAGAACTATGGATAACAATTTACCATTTCCCCCCATAAAATATCCAGAAATGTAGTCATTTAAGAAGCAAGTTATCTTCACTCAGCACTGTGGAGAGGAATATCCTTGGCTTTACTTTCTGTATCACAATAAAGTGGTGTCTCGCTAGACAGTTACCCCACATGACAGTTTTTTCGCTAGACATTGACTTTTTGTAATCGCTATAGCAATTCGCAAAACAGTGATTCCTATGGGGGAATTTCGCTGGACAATGTTTGGTCCCTGCTTCACAAACCAATTTTCACTAGACAACGATTTTGACAGCTTCCTCCGCGCTCGCAAAACGGGTGTTTTCGGGACCTAAGCTTCGCAAGACAGCTATTTAAACTGCTGATTGGCGGTTCGCAAAGCGGCTTTCCTATGGCTGATCTTCACTAGACAACAACGATTCTTCCCCATTGGAACGCATTAAACAGGTTTTAATGCATTCCAATCGGGAAATGCTTTTCGCTAGACAATGATTTCGCTAAACAGGAATTTCAGTGGAACGGATTATCATCGTCTAGCGAGGCACCACTGTAATATGTCAGCGTTATATGGGGACACTTGGTGAGCCCTCAGGTGAGAGAAGTATTGACAACTTGTAGACTGAGAAAGACAGCATCTCACTCCCAGACTTTGTGGTGCGCCATTCATGAGTCACCTGTGGGGAGAAACCCACCAGTGACTGTATTGTATTTTTTTAAAATTCATGTTTTAAAACTGATGGCATAAAGCACAAAATGCTTCAACTCATAAATGGAAACAACATACCTGACATGAACTGGCGGTCCCACCATGTTAATCTCTAGCTTCTGAGTTTTTCTAGGCAACGATTAAAATCAATAATGATGATTTTAATACTGGCAAATGAACGATAACATTTTCTCTTTTTAATCAAAATGGCTTGGATGCGAACTGTTTCTCACACTTCCTTCCACATCAAGACTGATAAAGTATATACTATATGGCTCACAAAGGTCCAAAATTAAAATTGTGGAAATGCTATGTCCTGTCCATGGCAGAACAAACTCCATAGCAATCTTTTGATTTGAAAATTCTGCATGAAAACTAGCCCTGACACTTTTGGTGAAGAAAGAATGTCTATGCTGATTTGATCCATATCTGGATATATATAAATATATTTAAAAAATAATTACTAGGTGGAACGAGACCCCGACCACAACTGTATCCGGATCTTAGACCATATTCAGATGACCATGGAAATGGCGGTAAGAATTATTTCTGTGCTTAAACCTTAAAATAGCAAGGGCTAATTGGGATTTCTATTTTGTGTCTGGTCTTGGATGAAATTTTGGAAATGTTTTTCATTAACAGGTGGCAACCCCAGACCCAATATGTATCCTGACCATAAACCACAGTCAGGTGACCATGGGAAGGATGGTAAGAATTATTTTCAGATTTAGAATCTTTAAAAAGATCTCATTTCTGGTTTACTTCTTTTTGTTGTTATGAGCTGATTAATAAATATTCATGAGCTGTCATGTCAATTCTGACCTAGGGTGATCCTTTTCAAGGTTTTCTAGGTAGGAAATACTCAGAAGTGGTTTACTATTTCTGGGAGTGCCCTTATTTTCCCGATGGTGCAGCCTGCCCAACGCTACGCAGCTGGTTCTACTTGAAGGAGGTACAGCGGGGAATTGAGTTCCCAACTTCCAGCTTTGCAGTCAAATACCTAAACCATTGAGCTATCCAGCCAGCTATCAGCTGATTAAGGGAATAATATTTTATAGATGCTTGTTTTCATTTAACAACTTTGTTAGAATGTTTGTAGGCATGTTTCTCATTTTTTAAGGTTAATTGTTTTTTTGGAAATGCTGTCTTAACATACCTGCCAAGCTCAGGGAAATCCTGAAATACATTGTACAGTTCTTTTGCTGAAATGATGGATTGTGAGTGTGTTAATTTGGCAATAACACGTGCTCCCTGTTAAAATTAGATCTGAATGGCAACTACTTGATTTTTTCCCCTCTTGTAACCATTTGCTGCTGAAAGTATCTATGGATGGAGATGGGGAGGTCATGTTAGAGCTGGCAGGTTTAGATTAGCAGCAGAACAGGCACTAAACAGGTAAACAATGTGATTCTAGACAGAGGAAATGTCATAGGTAAACAATTAAAGCATGAAAAATTCCCATTTAGTACTTTAAGTATAAGGGCAGGGGTTTCCAAAATAATGATTTATGTCGCAGTTCATCCCTAAAATGGCCATCCTACACTCCAATCTATTCCTGATGCAGCTCCCATAGCTCATAATCTAGTCAAATACTCTCTCTCTCTCTCTCTCTTGTCCCCTGTATTCTCTTCCCTTACTACATTCATATCGAGTCAGACACGACTTAACGACTAAACAACAACAAACAAGTACATTCAAGCTTGCTTGGGCGGCACCTCCTCACCCCTGCTGGTCACAGAATCCCTGCTTTTCCTTGTACTATTATTAAGCCCAGAAGAGTGGCATCAGACAGGCATTTGCAGGGACTCCCAGGTAAATGCATGCGATTCCTGAAGGTTGTCTAAGCAACATCACAACATCTCTTTCTGCAATTGCCTTCCTGCAGGATTCTTCCCTGCCAACCCTGCATTTCATGATGAAAGAAGCCACTGCATATGCAAAACTCTTCTTTTGTTGCTCTGATCAACTCCATGGTGGCTGCCTGCATTTTACTTTTAATGCTGACAAATTGGATAGCATGAACTCTCTCTCTCTCTTTTGGTCTTTGAATCTCAGCTTTCAAATGGACTTCATCTGCACATTTCAAGGGTATAAGGCAGCTTCTTTTACACATGAAAAGGGGGGAAGTGTACAAAATATTAGTTCTGGGGCTTTAATAAGAGAGTTTCTGAAAATCTGTAAGAAATAAGAAACATGTGAAAAATGGAAAGAAAGAGTAATACCATAATTTCATCTTTTTAGGTGATTTTACTGACTTGGATCTCAATGATGGGAAACCTCTACCTCCATCAGGTATAATACATCAATGTTCTTTCAGATGGTTCACACACTGTTGTCCTTCATCTCTCTAGACAAAGCAGCATATCTTGGATAATAAAGCCCAGAATCCTATTTTCTTATGCAATCAAATGAAGCCAACTGCAGAACCAATCTCACCTTTTCACCTGGATGGCCACTGCAGTCCTATGCAATGGGGAAACAACCTCCGAGTAATCTGGAAGCTGAGTCATGGCAACTGGATTTCTTTCTTATTAGGCTGAAATGTTTCGCTACTCATCGAAGGAACTTCTTCAGTCTGAGAAGAGCTGGCAGGAGATCCCTAATAGATCCTCCACACTGGTTTCACTTTCGCCTGGTCTGAATAGAAGTGATGTGAAACTAATGTGGAGGATCTATTGGGGATCTTGTACCAACTCTCCTCAGACTGAAGAAGCTACTTGGATGAGTATGTATGTATGTATGTATGTACGTATGTATGTACGTACGTATGTATCTACGTATGTATGTACGTACGTATGTATCTACGTATGTATGTACGTACGTATGTATCTACGTATGTATGTACGTACGTATGTGCGGACGTACAGTGGTGCCTCACTTAGCGATCGCTCCGTTGAGCGATGAAATCGCTTTGCGATGGACTTTGGGCCATCGCTGGAGTGATCGCTTAGCAATGTCCTCGATGGTTAAAATTCGCTTTGCGATGATCACGGGGAAGTGATCATGGCAAAGCGAACTTTTTTAAACAGCTGATCGGCGGTTCCAAAATGGCCACCGCTGTTTTGCCTCGCTGTAGAGGCACCCAAAATGGCCGCCACTATGGAGGAATTTCGCTTTAAGGTAAGTTTATAGCCCATAGGAACATATTAAACGCGTTTTAATACATTCCTATGGGCTTTTTAAAATCGCTTCGCGATTAAATAACTTAGCAATTTTTTTTCCGGAACGGATTAACATCGCTAAGTGTGGCACCACTGTATGTATGTATGTATGTGTGTGTGTGTGTGTGTGTGTGTGTGTATCGCCCATCAGGCAGCCAAGGCCACTCTGGGCAGTTTATAACAAAAAACAACAAAGTAACAAAATAGCAAATAGCAACATTAATACACTGGGGTGAAAAAAAAATCATTTTTTAAAAAGTAGTGAAACGTTTCAGCCTAACAAGAAGTCCACTTGTCATGACTCACCTTCCAGACAACATCACCTGGATGACTGAGAATCTTCAAAAATAAGTCCCTGAGTAAACAATTGCACATCTCATTATGCTCCTAGCCATATCATGGATGACTAAAGCCACATGGGAAAACCAAGTGCATGATTTGTCTTTATACGCATGGTTTTATTTCAGTAGGATTTTGGCCAACAAGTTATATCTAGTATTGTAGTCCTGTTCACAGGAGTCTCTTTGACCCAACAATGGCTTTAACGAATGGAAGTCAGGGCAAAAAGGAGCCTTAGGGAGCCTGGAAACCTGAAGTGATATTTTGGCATTTATAGCTGTTTTAAAGAAATAATCCAATATATCATTAGATATATTTAGACCTGTCTTGGTAAAATTATTTTAAACATTTCCCTGGAACAATAACATTACAGCTTCTATTTCAGGTGGGAGAGATCACATTGAAAGTCATGGTGGAAATACTGGTAAGGTTGACAGAACACTTTGTGGTATATGGTGGGCCAAACTATGAATAATGAGACACTTTCTTCTTTTTCTCAATACAACACTTGTGTAATTCTTTTTAAAATATTTGTATACTTACTGTTTTAAGTTTTTAAATAGTGCCTTTTTAATGGTGTAAGCCACCTTGAGTCTTTAATTAATTAATTAATTAATTATTCTCTTAAGCAATGTTTCCTTAAACTGGTCATGTTGCCCCTTCACCAGTTTGGAATGTGATCAAAATGATCTCCCCCCCCACCCAATTTTTGCTTTTAAAGTTTCTATATGTCAGTAAATAGCAGGTTGTGGTCCAAATGGTATTTTGGAGGAGAGGGTTTTTTTTGTCTAATATGGACAAGCAGGTCATGTTCTACCTTAGAGCCTGTGTAGCCATTTTAGTTCAAAATAAAGGTAGGCAACTTTACCACTGGTTTTCTTTTAGCACGCAGCATGTGTAATGTGAAGCCGTAAGTATTCCTTGAACCACATTTATTCTGACCCTAACCACCAGATAAAATTAGTCACTAAAGCTCATAATTAATATTTTAGCCACCCCCAACAGCTGAAATCCTATTGGATAAAGACATCATCCTCCCGTCCTGCAAAGCCTGTGCCTTTTTAATGATGAAAGTGATTACCTGGGGAGATCTGGGAGAGAGGTCAGAAATACTTAATTTCTGAAAAATGGCTACTGCTTCTGACATTATCAGCTTTACTCAGTCCAATGTACACCAACAGGATTTCAGCCAATGGGACTTCAGTTTTCCCTATCTTTTTCACCCTCGTTACACAATGCCCATCTAGTCCTTACACTACTACACAATACTACTCAAAAAGCAACCAAGAATAAAAGATGTACTGAATCTTGTGTTTATAAAGTTTTGAAGTCATGGTTGAGCAAGTTTAAAATACTTCCCCACTCCCCTAGATCACTGCCTTAGATATAAACCATCAGTGGCTGGAATCCAGTTAAAAAACTACACTGATACAGGAGCAGAAATTTCACTTGCGAATTGCTTCAAGTTAAGAAATCAGCTCAGATGTTTGGTGTTGCATGCTGAGCCATGCAACTGGTGTGCTACAGAAAACACCTAATGCTAGTTTTGTAACTTGCAGTCGTTTGCAGCTGAGATTTACAGTGGTGGAATTATGCCAGCGAGTAGAGCTAACAGGATTTTCACCAGTGTCATTGCTTCTTCCTCTGGGAATGAGAGAAATCCTGTAATCATTTCTTTATTCATAGCTAGTGCTTCTATTACAATCTTTCTTAACAAAAAAAAACCCTCCTTAGATCAAGCAGGCTGGGAACAATATAAATGCATACACTTTTGACATATGTACCTACTAGGCCACAGTGTTGTTCCTCTTTTTTACATTTCAAAACAGACTAAACTACTGTGTTGTTTTCCTCTCTTTTTAGTGGATTCTAGTTCAACAGCTCAGATTACATCCCCAGTCGTGGCTGTGGTTGTGCTGTTGTGTGCAGGAGCAGTTTTTGGCTATACTGCTTACAAGCAAAAGAGATACTGTTTCAAGTCTAGAGGTGAGAATTATTTTTATAAGCTGGTTACAATTAAAGCAAAAAAAGCAAAGCGTGCTGCTTATATACCGCCCCATAGCACTTCAAGCACTCTCTGGGCGGTTTACAATTTAATTATGCAGGCTACACATTGCCCCCCCCCCCAGCGAGCTGGGTACTCATTTTACCGACCTCGGAAGGATAGAAGGCTGAGTCAACCTTGAGCCGGCTACCTGGGATTTGAACCCCAGGTCGTGATCACAGTTTTAGCTGCAGTACAGCAGTTTTACCACTGCGCCACGAGGCTCCTTGTGGGTGTGATAAACTCCTATTCTCAATTTTGCATTTCTCCATATCTCAACTGCTTCCCCATCCCAGTCTTTGTTCATATCAGCTTGTGAGACTTTTGGGTTTTCCCCCGACACGGCAATCCATATATGTTTCCTATATGTACCTTTGTAACATCCACATATATTTATATCTTTAAAAAAACACCAAAGTACTGTCACATCTTAAAAACTAACAGATTTTCCCAGGTGTATACATTTTTCTAAACATTTTCCCATAGACTAAAAAAGTGCATATTTAGGTGCACTTTTCAATGTGTACATTTGCAGTTACAGTATTTACATATTTTAAAATGTTTGCAAAATTGCATGTATTATGAATGTATAGCAAAATTTATAAATGTGTGCTTTTGCTTGCAAAAAGATGCCAAATGGGTATATTTTAAAAATGCTGAGTTGTCATGAATTGGATAAGTAATTTACACACCAACCTGATATCTACTTACCAAAACTAAGTGCTATTGATGTCAATAAATACTGTAGTACATACGTCTGGCCAGGCATATACAGAATTGCAGAGCTGGTCAATCTAGTTCATTACTCTTACCCTGATTTACAATTCCTGTCACAATCAGAGAAATGAAGAGCTGATCCAAGAATTGTAGGTATGTGAGACATGTGGTGTTATCAATGATCTCTGACCTTCTTGTGAATACATGGAGATAACTGGGGAAGTCTACAGCTGCTACTAACATTACAACTGAAGGAGCAAAATACAAAATAAACAAATTAATTAATTAAAAAACCAAACAAGCTCACACAGTACAATGCTGTTCAGTATAGTTTATTGTTGCGGTTCTTAGACCAATCACAAGCTCACACAATTTTGTGCAATAATCCACTAAAAGCCAAGAAATGCTAGAATTCCACAGTACAGATAGCTCCTTTTCACAATGTGTTCATCCAGGCAGATGTTAATATTTATAGCTGATGGATATGGATAAAGCACAAAACTCTCTCGCTGTGTCCAGCACATCTGCTCTCTCTGTGTTTTTACCCAATACTCCCCCAGTTGGTCTAGGGGGGAGCTAACAAATGATTGTTCATAGATGCAAAGCATGAAAAGCTAGAGCTGTAAAATTCCCCATATAATTTAAATTTAAAAATCACTTTGGCAATGATTCACTTTATCACCAGTAATCCATAATTGGTGTTGTAAGTAGTCTGCTCTGCAAAGCCAACAATCATCCGATTATAGATAATCTGATCAACATTCTAGACTGATCTCATTCATTCTTTGCAGGCACCAGCTGACAGAATTTCACTCTCTTCCACATGTTGGGAAGGAGGGATGAAGTTGGTCAGTGTTCCAGCTGAAGTGTAGGGCAGAGAAGCTGCACTTGAGACTTTGGCCAGGGACACAGTGATGTCAGTGGGCATGGCCATGCTTTCTGACATCATCCAACCCATGGGGAGCTGGAGAAGGAGCAACAAACTCCCCATCCCAAAGCAGCACTTCACCATCTCTTCTATATACACCAGTCAGTCCCTTTTTTGATTACTGTAACTTTGACCTATATATGGATTTCCCCAAGTTGATGGATTCTAGCACAACCCTATGCAAGTCTGCTTGGAAGTATGTCCCACTGTGTTTGATGGGGTTTTGCTCTTGTTGTTTTGATTTCTATACCAACCAATAGTGCTAAAGCACTCTCTGGGCTGTTTACAATATAATTTTGCAAGCAACACTTTGCCCCCACCCCACCCCAGTAAGCTGGGTACCTATTTTACTGACCTAGGAAGGATGGAAGGCTGAGTCAATCTTGGGTTGGCTACCTGAACCTGTTGGTATTAAACTTGGGTCATAAGCACAGGCTTGACTTCAGTACTGCAGTTTAACCTCTGCTCCTTAGGAGTCAATTTTCTCCCCCCATCAGTGTGTTTATACTTCAGTTTGGGCTCAAGACTAAAGAATAATATAATGTATTTTTTTTTAATAATCTGTTCCTTTTTCCTCAACAAATCAACATGCTGTCTTTCATTTCAGGTGGGCCGGTAGTCTAAAACTCAGGAGAGTAACTGAGAAACATTGGCTTGTAGAAGATCATCCAAACCTTAATGCACTCTCTTAGCGTTATGTATAAATTCCCTCGTTCTGGTTTTGTGCAATATGACATTTTACTTGGGTGAAAACTGAAAAGTGGTCTTTCAAAGCTGAGGCTAATTAAAGATATAAGTGCGGAAGTGTTCTGATACTATAAAGTATTTCTAAAAAGCATGTTTGATTTTATTGTCTTTTATCTATAATTTCTATTTATGCTTGGGTAAATGCAACATAGTTAATATAGTGGTGGTTGTTTGGGGCAACATTTACATTTTTGTCATAAATTCACAAAATCATGATAAATGTTTCGGGATATGTTAAATGAACTGCAACCAATCCATCAATCTTATTTGCAGATACTCAGCTGAGACTATTTTTAAGTAATATTTTGAGTCCTACTTAGAAATGCCTGGAAGGCAGGTGATATAAAAGACTGTCTTCTTAAGTAAAAGCCTGCCTGTTTCCTGAGATAAAAAGCAGAGGCCTGGGCTCCATGTCTATTATCTTCAGAAATGAGGCAGGTGACAGGATCATTTCAGTGTTAGCATCCTGACTGGAGAATTTGCACTCTAAACCTACTTGACCTCAGTATTATTGTTCAGGTACCTAGTGGATGCTGTTTTATTCTCCTCTCCTTTTCATAAATCTTCATATTTACATCTGGTTGGTTGTTAAATGTTATTTTATTGGAGCATCTGATTAAATCAACTGCCACTCGTACTTGTTTTATTCTGCTTTAATTGTTTGCCATGGGAGTTTTTAGATCTCTATGAGAAGCTCTCCACTCAGTCCCATCACTCTCACAGGCCCACAGGTGGTGTAGTAGTAGTAATAGTAGTAGTAGTAGTAGTAGTAGTAGTAGTAGTAAACAACAACAACAACAATAACAACAATAACAACAATAACAATAATAATAATAATAATAATGTCATTTCATTCATATCCCACTTTTCTTCCAATTTGGAGATTCAGGGCTGCTTTAAAAACTGGCTAGTGTTGGCAAGATACATAAACTATAATATTAAAAATGCAATCAAACTTGTAGGAATATTTAAAGTCTACTGATTTAAAACAATTAGAATGATTACAAACAAAAACTACATACACATACTGTATTAAAAATAGTTTTTTTGAAGAGGAAAGTGCAGCTTCACTGATTAAAAACTTTGTCTTCAGCCTGTTCAGAAATGCTTGTCTGAGAGGGAAGGTCTTTGCCTGCTCGCAGAAAGCCAGAAGGGAGGCCACCTCAGTCTCCTGTAGATGGAAATTCCACAAATTCCACAGTCTAGGAACAGTCACTGGAAAGGCTGCCTCAGAATTCCTCAGATGGGACTAAGTGGAGGTTATGGTATGGGGGAGATGCAGTCCTTCAGCTGGTCTGTGCTCAAGCTGTATGGGGTTTTATAGATCATCACCAGTACAGTGGTACCTTGACATACGAACGTCCCTACTTACGAACATTTCGAGTTACGAATGGCTCCGTTCGCAAAATTTTGCTTCAACTTGCAAACCGAGCTTCAACTTAAGAATGAAAAAAAAACCACTTTCCTGCCCTTTTTTTTGACCTAAGTTCATCTTAGGTCAAAAGAAGAAAAAATTAAAAAACATTCTCCCCCTAGTGGTAGAGTATGGATTAACCAGCTTTGCATTAGTTCCTATGGGACCTAATGCCTCTACTTGCGAACAACGCCTCGACATAAGAACGAAAAACAGCCGGAATGGAGTAAATGGTTTTCATTGCATCCCTATGGGAAATTTTGCCTAGATTTACGAACATTTCGACGTATGATCAGCGTTCCAATACGGATTAAGTTTGTAAGTCAAGGTACCACTGTACTTTGAACTGGGTCTGGAAATGGACTGGTAGCTAACAGAGCTGTTGTAGCATAGGAGTAACTTGATTTTTATAACTGGTTCTAGTCAACTGTCTGGCTGCACCATTTGGGGCCACAGGAAGTTTCAGAACAATCTACAAAGGCAGGCCCACCTAGAGCATTTTCCAATAACCTAGGCGGAATGTAATAAAGGCATGTGTCATTGTAGCAAAGTAAGATTTCTCAAGGCATAGGTACAGCTGGTGTATTAGCTTTAGTGATATAAAATATACAGTAGTACCTTGGTTTGCGAAACGGATTCGTTCTACGCGACATTATGTAGTACGGAAATTTTGCAAACCGAAAAGGCAATTGCGCTACACAAGGGGAGGCACTATAGGTGCAATGTGCCCTGGGAAAACCCTTTTGTAGTGTGAAAAGAAAACAACATAAACCGGGGCTTTATTTCTTATGGATTTTGGTTCGTAAACCGAAAATTACGTAAAAGGAGGCGTTTGCAAACCGAGGTACTACTGTTTATGGTTCACCCACAGGAAATTGGAATACAGGGCTGAATTTAACAATATGCCACAATCCTGAGTTTTCAGGAGAGTACAAGCCTGCCCAGCACAGGCTAAATCCTTGTTCCCTGCTTTGTCTTTTGGCTGCCCAGGAGCACCTCTGTCTCTTCTGGCTTAAGCTTGAGCCCATTATGAACGGCAGACACTGGTTTAGAACCAAAACAGTGGGACTCTAACTAGGGAACGGGGACTCTGATCCAGGGCACCAGAAAATTTAGAGAGCACCAAGATTTGGAGCTGAATCTATTGGTCAGTGTTACAAAAATTCAGGGCAACATTATTCACCCCCACTTTTTTTCTTTGAATGCATGACCTTTCATCACATTCTCCTCCTCCTCCTCTTCCATGGGTAGCTTGCATCCATGCCCCACAATAGAGTAAGTAATAAGCAATGCCTTTGCTGAGGCCAATTACGGCTCTGCAAAACAACCTCTTAAAGTTAGATGCAAAAGAGAGATGAAAGGGAAGAAAATTGAAGACGGCCCGCAATTATCCAAAATGGTGGGCTTCAGGGTGGACTTCTTCAGCGAAGTTCCTAAAAGCTTTTTTTAAGCAGAGAAGCACGCACCACTCTTTTTAGGGACTCAGCAAGTTTCCTCACTTGCCCTTCACCGCTTTTATGAGCCACAAATGAAACAGTTGCAGAAGAAACTGACGTTTGAACGGAAGGAATGGGATCCATTTTCATGTGTCATCCCAAGTTATCTACGTGACTCTACATACAAAAACAGAAACACATGCAATCATTATGTCATGCAGTGTTGTGTGTGTTTTTTTAAAAATAACTCCTAACATCTGAAGTAGGCCATCGGGGATAGAGGAATATACAGTACGTTATTCTCCTCCATTGCCGTGGGATCTCCGAACTGGACCTTTAAAGGAGGAGCGGAGCAAGGGAAGCACTGTGATTTCCAGCTTTTAATGAATTTCCCTTAAGAATGAAGTGAAACCAGAGGTTGGGAGTTCGATTCCCCACTGCACCTTCTTCGCAGGGGTTGGATTAATAGTCCACAGGACCTCTTCCACTACTTCAGTTCTAAGATGGTGATGATTAAGAGACTTGGCGCCTTAATGTGCCGCTGTCACACGTATTAGTATGCCAGTTACAGTTTTAGTAGAATTTATTCACAAAGCCCTGGTGAACCACATGCACCGCCTCAAGCATACTGAAGAAAACACTCAGGTAAATATAATTAATCGAGTCATCACTCAGAGACAAGACGCCTCTTCCCTTTTGAACGGCGGCATTGCTTGAAGGATGACGGTAGTGCCCGGGTGTGTGTGATAGATTACAGAACGTGCGAATGGGGCAAAAGTATTGCAACACGACGGGGGAGGGGACCGGAAAATTGTGGGGGGGGAGAGAGACAGGATTTCTCGTCAGGACCGAGAGCGCCATACAAAATTTCA